AAGGTAGAGAAAAAGGTAAGATGAGTACTGTGGTAGGGGTCGAATATGACAACCAGGGGGGTCGTGGTAGTTTGAAGTCAGAAGTCAACTGCCGGTTTATAGACTTTTTTGCCGTATGAGTATACGTTGCCCAGGGTAGACCACGTGGAATTAAGTCTATCGTACACCCCCAATATGACATATAGTGGGGTGATGGTAGTTTGAAGTGAGAAGTCAACTGCCAGTTAATAGACTTTTTGCCGTATGAGAATACGTTGCCCATGGTGCACCACGTGGAGGTAAGTCTATCGCGCACCCCAAAGAAGTCAGCAACACCGGGTATTCTCAGCCGGTCACCCATGCAAGTACTAACCCGCCCCGAAGCAATTCGTTTTTTTTCAAATTCAATCCCTCCCTCCCCCTCCCCACCCCATCCACCTCCAATGTCTAGATCATAAAGGGAAAAATAAAACTCTCTACTTGAGTACATCTCAGATACCCCATTTAATGCATTAATTTTTTCTCCATTAGGCAGTCATGGACTTGCAGAATCCGAGAATTTCGAATACCTATCCCCAGTAATCAACTCTGATAAAATACGTCGAGCCTCATGCCCTGATACCGTGATTCCAGGATTTGCAAAACGACTAGCGGTGAAAAATTTCCTTGGTGTTGTCCCAATGGCTAGTCTGACACAACTGGCCGGTCCTCCAATTCCAGTCTTGCCATTGGGCAATGCTTCGTTGTCGGGGAATGATGATAGTGTACCTGGAAGTGGAACAACCATACAAGGTCGATACGAAGCAGCCCTGGAAAGGTTCACAGCCTCTTATCGAACGCGCACACGCCAGGGCAAAAATGGTGGCGATAGACGCAATGGCCATGAATCCCCCTCCACCCGACCCATCCTCCCTGGACAAAAGACCCACATACGAATCCATAAAAATGCCTCTCTAAGTCTCGGTATCTCTCTCATTGGTGGCTGTGAAACCTCCCTTGTAAGTACCTCAGGTCAATTCAGCTGTGAAGTTAAAATGTCACCTCTCTATGGCCTTTCCCTTCATGATTTCCTTAAATCAATTTTAAGACAACCATTCCAATTATTGACATTTGCCTGTCTAACACATTAAGGCCCGGATCTCTGCATTTTTGTTTTCAGAGATTATTAGTTAACAGTAAGTCCGTACTTAAGCAAGTGTGGAGAGGTGGGGAGTTGAGGTGACATTAAGAGTATAATCATCGCAGCCGAGTGGTCTGCTTCCATTGATTTGCGGTTTCTAATTGCACAAAATTTTGAAGTTGGTGAGTTTTCTACGTCTCGAAACTCAACTTTCGAGGTTCTTCATCAGAAATTGCAGGTTCAATTCCTTGCCATATTATTTAGCCCTCATTAACCGTTAAATTAGTTTTATTTATTTATTTATTTATTTCAAATGGCAGGCGGTTTGAGTTATCATTAGCCATTTAGCTGACTTCGGGCTTCGCAGAGGGGGGAACATCAAAATGAGAAAAAGTCGAGAGAGGGGGGGGGACAGAAGAGTGATTCACTGGTGGAAAAGAGACAGGCAAACACAAGGGTAAAGAAAATGAAAAATGAGATGAGTACTGTGGAAGTGGTCGAATATGACATACAGTGTGGGGTCATGGTAGTCTGAAGCGAGAAGTTAACTGCCGACTAATAGACTTTTTGCCGTATGAGCATACGTTGTCCAGGGTGCACC